CTGCTCGCTAGCGCTTCCAAACCCCCCCCTGCTTTCGCCATCGTGGGATTCTGAAAGGTCGTCGGCATACTGGCGCAATGATGAACCTAGGGCTCGGTTCGCGAATGGGCCCTCGACCCCCCGCCCCTCGCCCTGGGTGGTTTTCCCTCCAGGGCGCGGACCCCTTGTTGGCCCTGGTCAAAAATCTAAGCACCGCGCATGGATCGCCCGTGAGCGCGCCGCAGGTTGGCCGGAACAGGGCGGGCGAGCCCTGCAGACCTGGTAGAGATATGACAGCCCCGCATCGGCGCTGCCCACGCTCTCCGCGGTCTTCTCGCATAGGCCCCGCGCTCACGTCGTCGAGCTCCGCCCGACCGGCGCCGCCGATAGCGCTCATTTGGTCGCGAAAGCGTCGTGGGCGCTGCGGCTGGCCTACCTGGTGCGAAGGAGGGTGGCATTTACCCTGATCGCCGCGTTCCCCCTGCAACGCCATCTCATGAATCCACGCGCTGCATGAGGCATCTCTGGCAGCGATGAGGATTCTGCTCAAAGCCCGAATGCTGCGCCACCGACGCCCATGGCGCCCTCGGTCTTCTTGGGCCACGATATGCCTTGACTCGCATGCCAATAAATAAGAGCGCGCCCAGACGTGCGCATTCTGACGAACCCATCGTCGATTACCCAACGAAAGAGAGGTGTCTCGCGCACCTGGAGCCCGAGTCCAAGTCTTCGGCCTGCAGGCGATGCATCCTCTGGACGTTGGGGTCCACTGCCCACATTAGTAGTGGGGGAAGCTCAAATTGTGCTGACTACGGTGGAGCTGCTCGCCGTTTCGCTGCTCTGCCCAAAGGTCGCTGTACTCGGCGAAACTCACCTTTCGCCGCCTTCCAATGACTCTCGTCGAGCACCACCGCTGCCGTCAAATCTGCGCGCTGCTTCCTCCACGCCTGCCAGTCGCGCAAGCGTGGTGTTTCCTTTCCGCCCTGGTGGCCAGGGAGGCTCCATTGCGGCATCCACTGCTCGCTGGTCAGCCCAGCCGTACGTACTGCCAGGTGGTAGCTCCGGTTGGCATCGAGCTTGGTCCCTGCCGCTCTTCAAAATTGTCGGTGCACCTCAGCGCGGCGTAGTTTGTTCCACGCTTCCCAGAAAATTCCAATGTGCTTTCCTGAAGCCCTTGCCATCGTCAATGGCGATACTCTTTCATGATTTGAGATAGGGCCTTCAGCTCTATCTCCAGCTCGCGCATGGCTTGCTCTCTTATCTCAGTATCAAAGATCGCCCGCTTCTCCATCCTATGCTGTACTAGAAGAGCGCGTCGTTCCTTTCGCTGCTGATATACTGGGGTCATGATAGATAAATGCCCGTGCGAAGAACGACTTTCCCACCGTGACGACCAAAGACTCCAAACATTCAAACAACGGACCGGGCGAGGCCCTACGAATGAGGTCGATAATGGTGTCGGCGCGCTGCTCCACACTTGTGTGATGACATGTTCGCCTGCCTCGCTGCCCGAAGAAGAGAGAGTTTCCATCAGCTCGTCCCTATCCCATCTTATGCCGCTGGCTGTACATAGGCCACGTGCACCAGGTAAGCGAAAGTGCGCATACAGAGGACAGTGGTCTCTACGAAATGTGCGACGTAAATGTTGGAGTTGACGCCCCAGGCGTGATAGAGGGCCGCCGGCTTTCTTCAATTGAGCCAGCGTCTGAGGTATAGCCATGTAGTCCACCATCGATGATCGACCTCCCGCGCCTTACCACGTTGCTATAGCGGACTCCGTCGCTGGAACGTATGAACATGCTTCTCAAGAAGCTCCCGGGACATTCAGCCCGCCTAGTGCTCTCTTCGGGCGCCCACTGGTGATGCTGCCGGTGTATCTATCAAGAACTAACCGCCTCTGGCAAAATCGCAATTTTGCCCAAGCACATAAGTTGATCAACTCCTAACACTGAGACGCTGCGAGAAGGAGTAGAGCTCATAGCATGATCAATCCAGTTCGTCAATCCCGTAACCGTCATCCTATACACCTGCAGCGTTCTCACCGTGGTAGGTCGTGCTGGACAGCATGCTCCAATCACTGTGAATTCCCACGATCGGGAGGCCACGCGCAGTGCCAATCCTCGTCCAGCGAGATGTGCTGGTGGCACTTGCGCTCTGCGCAAGTGTTCCTGTCGCATCTTGGATCCGCAAGAATCAGCACGCCGGTGGACGTTTTAGCCATGGGGCCCGCGGACCAACCAGCATCACTATGTCAGCGTCGTCCGCTTCGAGACTGCTCCATTCTCGTCTTGGTACTTCGTTGAGTGCCAACCAGCGTGATCGCGTCGAAACTCGAGCAGGCCAACTCTATCTTTTCAATACGAGCCCCCCCGTGGCGGTTAGGGGGTTATGTGCATCATGCGCAAGACGTGTGACTGCTTCAGGTCGCGTGCCTGCTCTTCACATGTGGGAGACAACGCCACCAGCAAACCGCCCACCACCCTCATCAGGCAGTGGCAGTACGAGGCTTCATCAACTGCGGGAAACTGCAGGACGAGAGGGTGCTCCGATGGAACGGCGCCTGTCGACAAACATGCGATCGTGCCATGCTGTCGACTATCATCATCATCATCATCATCATCATCATCATCATCATCATCATCATCATCATCACCACCACCACCACCACCATCAGCAGCAGCAGCAGCAGCAGCAGCAGCCGCATCATCAGCATCATCATCATCCTCATCATCATCATCATCATCATCATCATCATCATCATCATCATCATCTTCAGCATCTTCAGCATCATCATTATCAGCATCATCCATCATCATCCTCATCCTCATCCTCATCCTCATCCTCGTCCTCATCCTCATCATCACCACCGTCGTCATCATCACCGTCCCCTTCTCCCCCCTCCTTGCCGTCCTTCAAGGAGTCCTCCCCCTGCCCCTCCCCTTCTCTCTTAAAAGGAACCGAAGCAACATAAACGTGAACTTTCTGAGGTCCGTGCGGGTTTCTTGGATCGGCGCTGGCCCCCTCCCTGGTGCAGGGAGCGCGAGAAAGTCGGGCTGCTGAAATAAGGAACGATCAATGAGGAACGAATCCACTGTTTAGCCCCGAGAGCGCATGCGTAAGGAGCGCCAGCGTAAGAAGCGCCTGCGTGCGTACATAAGTAACAGCGAGCCCCTTCCGAACCCAAAGCGGTCCTTATGTCAGCGTCTTGACTGCAAGGGCGGCACCGGAAGCGCCGCCAGGGGGGTGCCGGCGCCGATCCAAGAAGTCTGCGCGGACCTCCGAGCGCTTATGCTTGTGCAGGTTGCATCCCTTTCCACTCTTCCTCGCCCTCCCTCTTCCTTGCCCTCCGCGCCCCCTCCCCTCCTCCTCCTCGCCCACCCCCTCCTCCTCGCCCTCCCTCTTCCTCGCTCCTCCCTCGTCCTTGCCCTCCTCGCCCCCCTTCCCCTGCTCCCGCTCCCCCCTCTCCCCGTTGGTGTCTCGGGCCGCGCGGTGCAGCCTTTAGACGGCGCGCCTCGCCGAGGGACGGCGCAATGTCAGGTCCGCCCTCCTCTGTCTCGGGCCACCGCGGCGGCCCTTCTCGAAGAGGACGACGCCAAGGGAAGACGATGATTTTTGGCAACGTCGACCATGAAAGAGGAGGAGGGACGAGGCGGCAAGCCGACAGCGACCCTCCAGGCCCGTGGCAGGCAACTGCGCGCTGCCGCGTCGGACCTGTGGCCGAAGGTGTGGTGGGCTGCCGAGGGGCGAGACCCACCAGAGACCATCGGGCAGGCAGGTGGCCCCTCACAGGCCCACTGAGCCCCCCTTGGAGTGAGAGGTGGTGGAGGAGGAGGAGGAGGAGGAGGAGGAGGAGGCCGGGAAACGAGGGAGCCACGAACATTTGGGAAAACGCGGCTGTCCCATAGCTGCGTGGATGTCACCGCTCAAGGGAATCCCGCTACGCAGGCGGCACCCGGCCTTCTAAGTTCTTAAGGGCCGTGGAACTGAGCCGACTGGATTACTTTGTGCATCTGGTTCCGGCCATTTACGCTGCACTGTCACGTGGAGGCTGACCCCCCGCATCTCAAACAAGAAGGAAAAAGGCCCTCGGTGACCACGTGGCCACGGAGGAGCTCATGGGGCGCAGGCTCGGTACCAGACACAGTACCAGCCCAGCCAAATGATCCGCACCACTAGACACAGGTGGCACCTGGGGTTCCAACGGAGCCCCCTTCAAGAAATCGCTACCCGTCGCCTGACCCTGATGGCCGATCTCGAGCCCGAGGACCCCGTCCGCCGCCCACAGTGCTACAGTCGAAACGCTGTCATTAGGAACTAGGAACCCTAAGTAAGGGACGAGGCCCCTTGTTGTCCATAAGTGAAACGTCGATTTCCCATCGAAAACTCGAGGACAACCTCAGACATATACTGCAAAACAATAGGAACGCTGAGCCCCTCCCGAACGAGAAGGGTTCCTCCTTCAGCGGCCCGGCTGTATTGCGATGGCGTCCTCGCGCGCCGTCGGCAGCGGAGCAGCAGCAGCGAAAGAGGAGGAGGAGGAGGAGGAGGAGGTCGAGCAGGGGAGGCGTGCCCTGGCACGGCCATCAATTTCTGCTCTGCAAGGCGGATGGCGCACACTGCGTGCGCTCCACGCGTCTCCAGGCGGCCTCAGAGGAGGCCGAGGCGAGGCAAGCCCTTCGCTGCCAGCTCGCGGCCTTGCGAACCAGGAGGTGGCGCTGCTGCACTGACTGCGCAGGTGCAGCGTGGACGGACGGCCTCATCCTCTTGGGCACCAGGCCGCTGGCGTCCTCCATCGTGGTGCCGACCGCCGCCGTGAGCCGCGCGAGAAGACGAGCTCCTCCGAGGCATCGGACACCTACATGCGGCGCAGGTCATGCAGCGTGCGCGGCAACACGAGGCCCTGGGCGCCTGACTTCGCGAAGAAATCGGCCCAAGCGTTGCCGTAGAAATCGTGGACGTCGTGCCGGCCACCGCTGAGCAGGTAGTGGTCGGCGTCCTTACGCGCGGGCTTGCTTCTCCACGATCTGGAAGACCTTGCGCCAGATGCCCGCGCACTGGCCGCGCGAGCTGGCGAGGTCCTCGCGCCACTCGTTAATCTCCGCGGCGAGGAAGGCCAGGCCTGTGATCACGTGGGTGACGTACGGCATGTGCCTCAAGAGCTGCAGGAAGACCCAGCGCTCCGCCCGCCCCACTGCCTGTCGTCGCCCAGGCAAGGCACCGTAGATGGCACGGATGGGCAAGATGTCGGTGCTCATCTGGACCACCGCCCAGCCGCACCTGCAGAGCTCGAGCCAGGAGGTGTCGTAGCCAGAGCCGTCGCTGTTGGCCACCGTGCTTCGCCACCTGGCGCGGGAGCACCAGTCGCCCCAGAAGTGGACATCTGCGTCCATCGCAGGCTTAGGGAAGTCGTAGGGGACGAGCGGAAGGCCAACCACCAAGTCAAAGCGGTCGCAGCCCTGGCCCCCAAGGCCAACGGAGACCCCGTTAATCATGCGCTCACGCACCTTCGCCCCCTGCTCGCTGAAGGCCTGGAGCTCGCCCCCGTCGTCGCCGTCGCCC